ATATATATATATATATATATATTTGTTCTGTTCTTTCTCAGAAAGAGTCATGGGAGAGGAATGGAAAGGGTACTACTGCCAATAGGAAAGGAGATAATGTTTTTGAGGTTGTGCTTCAAAGCCAATTTATCTCATTGGAAAATGCTGCTGTAATTTGTCAATTTAAATGATGAGATCCTCAAATCACTTTCTTTCTCTGTCTTTGCCCTTTTTTTTTTCCCTACTCTACTGTGGGCCTAACTCACCAGATGACACCCACACTTCCTTGCTTGTTAAATCCCTCTTTTCTCTTTTACATTCATTGTTGAAAATGATGCCTCTCTGAATCAGCTTTGAATAGTAACCATCATTGAGAATTTAATTGTTGCTTATAAATCTTTGGATGATTCATTTAACCTTTCCTGATTTAGTCTGTCTCACAGTAAAACTGATAAGTAATTGACTTCAAATCTTACCGTATTTTTTATAAATTGATGATAATTTCAATTATACGATACATGTAAAGTACAATACATCTTTTAATATGAAAAAAATAACAATTTATTTATCTTTGAATTTTCCTTTTTTTTTTAAATATAAAAAATGATAAATTGATCTATAAATCAGGAAAAAAAATGGGACATATTTTCTTTTACTTAAACATAGCTGAACAAAATGAGGTCATTAAATGAAATTAAGAAGGGTTGCTTTTACTGATATCTTGTAAGTTGAGGTTAATTTCGAATGTATGATTCATGTGAAATATAATGCATCTTGCTCAAATACGAAAAAATGGAGAGTCTATCTATCTCCGAATTTTCTTTTGTATACAACAATGGTAAACTGGTCAATGAAGGAAGAAAAAAAATGTGGGTCATGTTACAGCAGGCTTGTTATTAGCTGTATGAAAATGGGGTCGTTAAAAGGAATCTTCTCAGGTTGTACACTGCAAAAATTTAATGACAAATGCAATAAAAATGGCCAATTTCTAAATAAAACATGATATCTGTCTTGAGAGAGCTGCTCGTCCACGTGAAAGTGTTTCTCTTATCAAGTGAAAGAACAAAGGAAAATGAAACAGAAATTGAGGCAACCAATTTATATGCATTAAGCTTGATGTTTGTCCAAAAATATGTTAAACACCCTTTGGCCTTCCTATTCTTCATGTGAGCATTTGTCAATGTCGGACCACTGTTAGCTATTAATTCCAACAGGAAAAAATGGGGTTTTCTCTGTTAATGTATATGAAGCAGAAAATTCAATTCCAGGATGAATCTGCCTCACATCAAATGTTATTGAAGAAGAGAATTGGCAAATGGTCAACTTCCTTGGAAGGAATAATAAATTGGGTTGTGGTAATGAGTCAAAGTTCCTCTAGGAATAGGCAAGGTGGAGTACTTATCAATCAGCAGGATTGCAAACTGGAAAGCAATAAGCATTGAATTCAATGCTCCAAGTTATTGGCAGTGGCATCATAACTATACCATATGTTGAAAAACTTGTAAACTCCTTGCTCTTTATTAGACTAATTCACAGTGCCAATGCTTTTCTGACATCACCCAGCATAAAAACCAAAGAGTTTTGGTATGTCAAAGTTAGGCTGGATGGTGGATACTGAATCTAAGTAGCAGTAAGTACACTGACTTGAGAGGAGCCAAAGCTTAATGCTCTCTCCTTCTGAGATTTATTTGCACTGTATTTTTTTTTTTCCAAGCCCCTCTGGCATGACTTTTAACCACAAAACGGCAGCTGATACTCCTTGGGCGTCTGTCCTAATTTGGTGCAAATCCTCGTTGGAATCTCTCAACCTCTCTTTCTCTCTCTCTCTGTCTCTCTCTTGCTTATCTACACAAAACACAACCTGTCCTAGAGGGTCAGTTTCATGTTCACTATTCTTAAACTGGTAAACTATCATCAACCACTACCATTACTCTCCTTCTAAACCACTCTTATTGCCAATAATCTGCCTCTTCTTCCCTTTCTTTAGTCTCCACCACATTTTTGCCAACATTATTATCCCCACATAATGCATTAATTTGATTTCTCTCCTTATTTTTTGAACGTTGTAGGCAGACCCCACAATAATGGCTCCCTTTTTCTGATGGAATTCTAGCCTGTACGTCTTTGAGACTTCAGTCTGGTCTCTGGAGTCTCCTCTGAAATGGGTTTGCTCAAGGTGTCTTGTGTGCTTTTGCTTAGTTTGGTCTTTTCAGCATTGTGTTTCCAAGGGAATTGTGATGGTTCAGAGTTCTCAGTGAAGTTCTTAAAGGCACCTCATGCATTCTCTCACCTAAGCTCAGCCAAATTTGTCTTTGAAGTTTTGGGAGGTGGCAATGGAACTTGCTCAGAGTGTAGCATCACTTGCAAGGTTTGGTTTGTTAGTGACACTGCTTGCTACATTTGCTCATTAACAGTTCTTGGTTATTCTCTCTCTCCTAGTTAAATTGTTCAACTTCTTTTCAATGCTTTAGAATCTAATATTGGCAAAGTTGCACAGAAACTAAGTAGCATTACCTTGTTTGAATTATTCTACCCCTTTTTTTTTTTGTTCAAGTTTCTACTGGTCCTCTCTACTATACCGGAACTAAAGAAACTGCTCATGATTTTGACCCATTTAGTCAAGAATTTATTGAGAATTCTTTTTCGGATTGGTAACTCCTTTTCTATGATGCCATGAATGCAGCTGGATTATGGCTCTGCTTCAGACTGTGGAGCTAGAATGATTTTGTACTCAGGCTTGCAGGATGGAAACCACACATTTGGGGTCTGCATAAATGGCTCTCAAGGAGCTGGCTGCAGTATCTATAACTGGACTGTTGGTTAAGAAACCTTACTTTATCCTTTATAAGTTGTAATCCTCTTTTCTCCTATCTACAACAAGTCACTTACATAATCAACTTTGCTCATACCATAAAAGTCTTCGAACGAGTCCTCTTCCAACGCATTGTGCAATGCACCAGAAATGTATCAGCTTGAAATGTTTTGCAAAGTCATCTTTGGATTTCTGAACTCCCAATCTTTTATGCACCAGAGCTTTTTCCAACTTTAGTGTCTTTGTATTTTTGCTTTAATATCATTCTTCTCAATTCTTTTTGTTTCTTCTTCTGAAGACATTCAACGGGACTTCCTGCTATATGCATGAATTGCTGTTTGTGTAAAAGACCGTGTTTGCTTACTGTAAATCTTGCAGAAACTGCAGCTATCATTCTTCTGATATTTAACTCAAGTTTGCACATGTTGCCAATTATAGTGGATTTGGTTCCTGTCTAGTCCTTTCCTAAGGCCAATTCTACCTTACTTTTGCAGACACAGTCCCTCCCACAGCATATGTAACCTCATCGGCACCTTTCACAAATGCTCTAAATGTTTCTGTAAATATTTCTTTCACTGAATCTTGTCCTGGTGGAGGAGGTTTCAGATGTTCATCTGTAAATGATTGCAATGTGAGTACGTGCTTAAATTCTTTTAAATTTACTGGTGTTGTTCATAACTGCAGAACCTGGGGTAACCCCTTTGTTTTCCATCTACTGAAGTTTGGTTAGTTGATCGACAGCAATGTATGATCACAACGTTGTCAAGAGTGTTTTCTGCGATGTTGTGATGTGTCTTTTAATGATTTTCATTGTCATTTTTTCTCTTAAGATCAGTCATTAGTCTTTGATGTCAGTTTATGCACAAATTAGAGACCAAATTCTAACTAAGAAGTCTTCATATCCTTGCAGCTGCTTGTTTATGGTGCTGGCCAAGTTGTACCCTCATCACTCGTTATTCTGGAGCCAAACCTCAAATATTCCCTTTTGGTGACCATATCATCTGCTGCTCAGTATGGACGATTGGTATTGGTAATGGACAGGAATTTTTGTACTGATTCTGCTGGGAACACATTTACTAGATCAGCAAATTCAAGTTTTCTTGTGCATTTTGGTGAGTGTTCTTGTTTGTTTATTCTCATACTAATTATCATCGTATGCTCGATAAAATTCCTTCAAAAGTAATCTCCGTTTCAATCTTTAAATATGGTTATAAGTTATATAAAAGCTTCTCTAAAGTTGCTCATCTTTTTTATCTCACTTAAAGTTCAGATTATCTCCTTTCCAGTAGGAAGTTATTGGAAAGATCTTTAACATTTTGTAGTTATATAAGAATACTTTCACATTAAATGATGGGATCATTGTATAAATTTCTTTGAAATATGGTTGTTAGTAGCCAGAGAAAAGAATGTTAGAAACTGGTCAAGTCTGTCCTTTGCCATGTTGGACAATGAAAATTCTATCAAGTATTACTTGGCTGCTTTGAGTGTTCTTTTGTCCCCATTTTTTTCAGTTTGAGATGTATTTACTCATAAATTGTTGACATGTTCTAACCCTAACTTGATGCTTGTGGCTGGTTGTGTTTCACAGATAGAAGAAGTGTATTTGTTGATCTGAGGACTCATGTTCCTGAGAAATTGCTTCAAGTTGATGGCGAAATTAGAACAGTGCGGGCAACTAATAATCATAATAACTTGAAGGTGTACCTATACTTCTCAGCACCTATTCTCAATTCATCAGCTGAGATTCTAAGTTCTCTGAACATAAGTGAGGGTAGCCTTCTTCCTATCAGTGGAGAACATCACGGGAATCGCAGATTCGGCTTTCTGGTTAGTCAGTCAGTTCTATAGTTTTCACTCGTCATTGCTGTACAAAGAGGTTTTGCCTTTGGTTTATCTATTTAATGTTCTCAAGTCATTTCATTGTTTCCTTCCAGGTTGCTAATATGTCTGATATTTCTATAGTAACAATAAGCCTCACTCCAAACTCTACAATAAGCAGACAGGGGACTCCTGTTTCTCCTGTTGCACCAGTTACTTTCCTATATGGTACAAGCTACATCTCTAAGAGAAGTTATAAAGAAATTCACATCTCATAGGGGATAAATTTTACTTTCAGTGTTTCCCCTATTCTCTTTAAAATTGATAATATTTCCAGTAAGAAGAAGATTCTAATATTCCATGGTGTTAAATCATTATATGTTGGATACTAGATGCATTAAATGCCTTCTGACATGGACATAGATGTGATCTTCAGATTCTCAGGGGACTGCTGTTAGATTAAGCACAACATCTCACATGAGGACACGAGAACACAATATCCCGATTTCCATAAAATTCATGAAGCCGGTTTTTGGGTTTAACTCGTCTTTGATATCCATCTCAGGAGGGCGTTTGCAGAGGCAAGTAATTTCTCATTACCAACCTCTATTTGGCTAGTCTATGTAGGAAGATAAACTGCAGCTCAGAATTCAAGAGGCTGATTTTGTTTTCCCTGCTTTGATGCATTCCAGCTTCCATGAAATCAGTAGAAGCATATATGCTGCAGAAATAAGAGCAGATGATGATGTTGTTTCTGTCAATATCCCTGAAAATGTAACTGGGGATGTTGCTGGAAATAAAAATTTGGCATCTAATGTTCTCCAAGTGAGGCACTGTAAGGATCTTTTCCCACTTTTCCTAGTTAATTGATGTGAGAAGATTCCAAGTCCTTGATGTTTGTTATACCAACTATATGCAGATTCTATACCTGTAATTTCTTCTGTGATTTCCATCTTTGCAACTGCTGCTTTTTTGTTGACTTGTTTTGCTGCGGGGATTCTCACCATGTCAACTGCAAGCCTTCAATCCGTTGGGGCATTTTCAAGACCGTCTTCATCTTTGTCATCTGACCCTGCAAGGATACTCTTTGTATGATACCAAACTCATCAGAACTCTTTATTTTATTTCAAGAACTTAACGAATCTCTCTTATATGATGAACATACATAAGATTTCATGCAACATTTCTAATGCCTTTGACTAGTCATACAATTTTTGATTAAGCTTCATGAACCTCAGACCAACAAAAAGTTTCATGAATGGATTGTGGAGATCGTTCAACAGTGATGTTTTCTCATTATCAAGTAAAAGTATAAAAACAACAGTTACAAACAATTCCATTCTCTTGCTTTTCTTTTTCTGCAGAGAAGTGCATGCCACATTCAGGTTTTTGCACTGTCTAGGTGGTTGGCAGCCACATTGCCAGTTGAGTATTATGAATTTGCGAGGAGTTTAGAGTGGAGCATTCCTTATTTTAGTCTCCCATGGGAAACTGGGCACGTTCAACCTGTCATGATGGGTTCAAGCCCCAGCGACAGTTCGAATTCTTTTTTTTCCCGAGCATATGATTGGGAAATATCCAATAGTTTTCAACCAAAACAAGAGGAATTCAAAGTGGCTGCTAATGTATATGGTTCACCACTTAGTGCAATGGAATACAGATCATTTTTTGAGGTCAGAAATCACTTATTCCTCATGAAAAAGCTCCTACCTTTACATTGAACACCATTTAAGTAAAAGAGGTGTATTTTATGTGAGCAGAACCAAAGCATGAAACCAGAAGCAGATTATATTTTGGATAAGCTGCATTCAAATGGGTACGTTGTCAGCATATACCTTCTTTTGTCTTTCCAACGAACTCTTCTATTGCTAAATGGATCTTGCAGACAGAATAATGCTGAAACAATTGACATGAGTTTAATAGTTTCCTGCAAGCATATAGACAAAGTATAAAGTTCAAAGTTGACAGTTTCCTGCAAGCATATGGTCAACACCACGTCATCACGGTCAATGCCATTGTCAGAATTTCTAACAGAGACAACCTGAAGGTGTTAATGATTGGTCAAACATCAACAATTTTTGAGTGTACAAGAACTCAATTCATACAAGTTATAGTAAAAGGATTAAATTCAACATTTTTGTAAAGCACAGATACTAAATGTCAACAAAGATTATAGAATTTCATGTATATTTCTCTACTTTTCTGGAAACTGAAAATTATCTTAGTAATTATAAAAATGCTGATTTTGGTAGCAATGGCCAATGATGGATGTGTGTGTGTGTGTGTGTGTGTGTCTATATATATATATATATATATATGTATATATGTATGCATGCAAGTATGCATTTTGAATACTTCTTACAAAGGTTAAAGTACTAACAATGTATATCCATAATATATCCTGTTTTTCTCATCTGTGTAGGTGGAGGGATTTTGATAGAAGCTTGTTCTGGTTAGCTGTAATTGGTGGCAGTTTGGTACTGCTGCATGTTTTTCTCTATTTCATTCTGAAGTGCAAGAGGAGAGATTTTGAAAAGCAGGGGAGTTATGGAGCACTAATATTTCCTAGATTTGAGATATTTCTAGGAATTCTTGCACTTCCTTGTATCTGCCAGGCTTCCGCTGCTCTAGTTGGAGGTATCTTAAACATCAAAATGTTTCCCTTAACTATGAGCAAAGTTAAGCATTCATGGATAAATAAATGATTTCAACAAGAAAAAAAAAACTCCTGAAATTATGTTCATCTGTTGTAAAGGATTTAAGTTAAGGTGGTGCACAACATGGAGAGAGTTATAGTTATAAGTAAAAGGAATAGTTGGAATTTCTTATAAATTTGTTGGAAAAGCTTGCTGATTTTCCCTCTGCTACATGGTTATATATTCCTTTACTGCATGTCTACATCATAGCAATGGCCAAAGCAGATCTTGAGAAACATGAAAATGTTTTTCCATTGATACAGACTGTGAAAATTCCTGTTTAGACATCTTTACTCATTTGAAAACCATTTGACTGAGACATTACCTTTTCCAACTCTTGTGTTTCAAGGAGGAACGCCTTCAGGAGTTGTAGTTGGGATTCTGCTGCTGGGTGTTGTGGCTTTCGTACTGCTGTCACTGCTATTGTTCCTGTCTGTCGGAATCACACTTGGAAAGCTGCTTCAATACAAGGAAGTCCATCGAGAAGGCCAGCAGTTTCACTGGTATCAAGATATCATCAGAGTGACTCTTGGTCCTGGTAAACGAGGCCAGTGGACTTGGAAAAAGGAAGCCAACTCCGTCCACCTAACCATGTTAGGCCCTCTGTTCGAAGATTTGAGAGGTCCTCCAAAATACATGGTCTCGCAGATATCTGGTAGCAATCCTAGCAGACAGGGTGACCGTATCATTGCTTCTGATGATGAAACTGAAGATGCTGAAGCACCTTTCATTCAGAAGTTGTTTGGGATACTCAGAATATACTACACACTGCTAGAATCTGTGAAACGAGTTTCTCTGGGAGTTTTGGCCGGTGCCTACTTGAATAACTGGTCATCTAAAACTCCAGTAGTTATCTTGTTATGCATTACCTCTTTTCAGCTCTTCTTCCTTGTTCTTAAGAAGCCTTTCATTAAGAAAAAGGTACAGTTGGTTGAAATCATCTCTCTTTCCTGTGAAGTGGGTATGTTTGCAACTTGTTTTGTTCTCTTGGACAAGGAATTTTCAGCTGGGGGTGAGACTAAAATTGGAATCTTCATGCTTATGTTATTCCTATTTGGATTCTTGGCACAAATGATTGCTGAATGGTATGCTTTGTATGAACAAACAAAGCAACTAGACACTGCTGGGAACACTTTCCTGACGGGTTTGAAAATAGCTTCAATTGGATTTCTCCTGTATTTCATCCCTCAGAAATTGATGAAAAGCTTTGAAAGTAAATTCCCAGTATTTCAAAGTGGGGGTGAAGTCACAGCGGATACAGGTGTTCCTTCTGACAGGATGAGGAGTACTTCTGGGAGCAGGAGCTCTGGCACACCAGAGAAACCATGGCCAAAACAACTAAGGGAAATGGCAAAGGCTAGCTTTAGTAAAGATGGAAGCAAAGTTCCAACTGATCCTTCAAGCAGTGGAACCAAATGGAGTGGGTTCTGGGGGACAAAAAGGAGTGGGAGCTCTTCTGTAAGTTCCTCTTCGGATATGAAGTCAAAGTCGAAAGGGTTGTACAAAGACTTAGAAGCCATTTTTGCATCCAAATGATGCCTATACATCCCCAAAAACAGGAAGAAAACTTGAGTTTTATTCAGAGTTTGTCTAACCTTCCAGCAGAGGAATGGAGAGCTGAGACAGCTACCTCTTGAAACTATGCAATTGGTAATTCAAAATTGGGAAAATGTTCCGAATCATAGCTTTATAGGAATACTATCATGGCTTCCTGTGGCTTCTGCGCAGACACAAAACCCCATTGTTTAGTTTTACCATTTATGGATATTGACGTTCCAGTAATATAATTCTTTCTAATGCTTTGAAATTGCTGATGCACCTGACTTTATTGTTTATCAAGCATTCAACATGGTAACAAAAACCAATGCTAGTCCTGACAAAAAAGAAAGAATTTTCCCTTTGACAAATTTGCATGCATACATAAAGCATAGCTAGTTAAACCTGGAAGTGAGAGTTTGGACAGAGGTGATATCAATGCCCTTTAAGTTGATGATCTTCAAGTGCAAAGCCCTCTCATTTTCCCTTTTTTTTTTTTCTCGTCTTGCAGAAGCTGGCCAGGTGGTGCAGCCATTTGCTGCCACCAATGGTGCATGTAAATGGACCTTGAGACACCTGGTCTCAGCTTTGGCTCTACACAGCTACACGTTTAAACCACCAGGAAACAAGATGAAGAGCCAGGTGATCCGGCGTTGTTGCAATTCAAGCCAAAAAACCAAAAATGAAAGAAAAGAAAAAACAAACCCCATCTCTAGGAATGGCACTAAAGAAGGTCGAGGAGATTGTTTTCTCCAACCCTGTCGTTGTCTTCAGGTACCCAAATTTGTTTTGGACAAGAAAACTAGATTATTATTAAATAAAGAATAATACAAATAAAAAATAATTATAATTTAAAATTAATATAAAAAAACTTACCGTAAAATTATAAAAGTTGATGCAAAAATTTATAAAATTAAAATAAATAAATTTACAATTTTAATATAAATATATAAAAATTAACTTAACAAGTAATAATAATAAATTTTATTAAATTAATTAATTAAATATAAATTTAATAAAAAAATATTTTTATAATTTAAAATAAAAAATTAAATTAAAAATTAAATAATTTTAAAAATAAAAAATATAAATTTTAAAATTATCTATGTTATTATCTTAAAATAGATAAATTTAAAAATTATATATGTTGTTACTTGGTGACCTGTTATGCAAAATTTTTTTTTTTTAAATTACAGTAAGATTCGAGTTATTGTAGCGTTCACCATAAGCATCACGCCTATCCGCTCACCTCTTTCTCGGGCAGAAGCAGCCTGACCAGCTGGAGACCCCATGCCCTGCCACCAAACTATTATATGAAACCTGATCTTGAGAATTGAGACACCTGGTCTCATCTTTGGCTTCATATAGCACTCACCCGCATAGCCAAAAAACAACAGAACATCTTATATAAACCATGGGCTCTTTGTTCAGTTCAAGCAAGAAAAGCAAAGAGGAAATCCAAATGGCACGTGACAAGGTCAAGCAGATTGTTTCCTCCAACCCAGTTGTTGTTTTCAGGTATTGGGTAAAGGGTAGAATTAAAATTCCAATTTTTTATTTTGTGGGGTTGGATTAACAATGAACGCTGCAGGTGGTAGGGTTAATGTTTGCTTATGGTGTTTGATTAATGAGGGGATTCTAATTCTGAACTTGCTTCTTTTTGCAGTAAAACCTATTGTGGTTATTGCAATAGGGTCAAGCAGCTGTTTACACAGTTAGGAGCTTCTTACAAAACTATTGAATTGAATCAAGAAAGTGGGGGAACTCTTTGTTTGTTAAAACAATGAATTAACTAGTTTGCAGTAAAATTTTGTTTAGCATTCAATATGTACTCAGGAAATTATGTGAGTTTGTGTTTTTGAAAGGTGATGGGGATGATATGCAAGCAGCTCTGCTGGAGTGGACAGGGCAGAGGACGGTGCCTAATGTGTTCATTGGAGGAATACAAATTGGTGGCTGTGATTGTAAGCCTCAATTTCTTCAACCACCCTTTAATTGTTGTCATCTTGCCTTTGGAAAATGTGAAATTGAATTGCACTAAATATGGATATTGTTCCCTACTATATTAGTTATGACCTTTAATTCTTAATCCTGAATTTCAGAGTCATGACCCATTTGTAAGAAGTTGATTTACATTACATTTTCCTGATTAAAGAGATGAAGAAATGTAAAAGGTAGTGTTAATTTGGGTTATATACATGATAAATTTTCTGTTTCTGTTTCTCCTTTCAATCATTGCAGCTGTTGTGGCCAAGCATCAAGCAGGTCAGCTTGTGAACCTTCTCACAAATGCTGGTGCTGTTACTGTGAGCGCCTGAGATTGAAGTGTTTGGGACGAAACTCTGCTGCAGAGAGTTGCAAACCTTTTGTTTCCAATGTAACTAGAGTATACTTTGTCAATGCTTTGCAATTGATGATACTTGTACTTAAATGGTGTAATAACGATATGAAACTGCTACAGACTTTGTTTGGTTCTTGGTAATCTTCTGATTTTCTTGACTCTACATGCTGAAACAAGTAGATTTGGTGCTGCAGTTGTTAATTTGGACAATTTCTGGATACATACTCGGGTTTTTTTTAAGTTTTTTATTGTAAGCAGAAAAGACCGACAGACATTGGACTAATGACAGCTGCTAGATCATAAGCAGAAAAGAACCAGACATTGATCTGATGACGGTTAAATTTTTGTGAAGGCTAAAAGCTTGTTTGGGAATAAATGATCATAGTATAAGACTTTTTTAAAGATTTAAGCCCAATATAAAACTGTTCCAGTTCAATGGGTTCCAAAGAAATTGTTCTAAATTTTGACCAAACACTATATTCTTATACGAGTAACTACCATAAGAGCTTTTACAGATGAACAACAGTCAAAGCAGTGAAACAGGACAGAAGCCAAACGGCTTGAGGTGCTTTCTTCTCCCATACAATGTCTTGCAACTGAAATTCATGTGTTGGGCAAAATGGGAACAAGAGATACTTGCAGAATACATAGTTGAGGCCAAGATAAAGACTCAAGAGCATAAATGTATCTATGATTACAAGCATGCATTTTCTTCTTCTTATATTCAAATGTTTCACTGTTTCAGGATGATCCCATCAAGTCCTTTGAAGTTCAGAGGAGCTAGCTTCCAATCCTTCCACATGGAAACACCGTTCTAATGTAGTAGAAAGAAATCCCAAATTTTCAAAAGCATTTCCAGGTTCTTGAGCTTTTTATTGAATGTTTAGCTAAAACTTCCAGAGTTTTCTTGTACTAGAGCTTTTGCTTTCATGTTCTGCATTGAATAAGAGAAGATATCAGAGAAGTTCAATCCAACCCCATCTGTAAAGGTACATATGCGCAAAGTAGGTTTCACTTACGTTTGAGATGTCTATCCATGAACTAAGGGTGTTGAGAGCTTTTCCTGATAATTGTGTTTCACGAGCCAAACTTACTCCTTCAGCAAGCGACTTCACACAGCCACTGACTAGGAGAGCCCCTGCTGCATTAAGGATCTGATAGATGGCTATTGTATTAGAATTCTTTCATGATTACAGACATGGCATGCACATCTGCACGTGCACATACATACCGCACAGAGAACAAAGAAAGAAAGGAAATGGTTTGGGGTGGAAATAGCTTACAAGTGCATCCGCAATGGGGCCTCTTTCCCCTGCCAATATGCGCTTCAATACATCAGCATTGTATTCCGGGCCGCCACCTCGCAGGTCATCTAAAGTACAACGAGAAATGCCAAATTCCACTGTCCAACAGACATTTTCATGTTCTTAGCCTTTTAAAGTGTAAACATAGCATTGTAAAATCTGTTCTGCTATTAGTATTCAATACACAATGATATTTATTACATCCATCCAGGACTCAGCTTCACTTCAGTAGTACAACTACTCTCTAATCTCAACGAAGGATGAAGAAATCATGAATTACTAACAACATCTTACATGGATCAAATGAAAATTTTTCAATTTTTTCTGGAGTGACATCAAGAACTTGCCCGGGCCCTGTGTACATATGTCAAGAGATTGTAATGATTTAGGCCTTAAAATAGGAATAAGAAAGTAAAAAATTGCAAGTAAAGTCGACATCATGGATGACAGTCCAAGGGGAAGAAGGAACAAGATGAATCTTACCAAGGGGACTCATTTCATCTAAACCCTCTGAGTGAACAACTAATGCTCGTTTCATGCCAAATCGTTGTAGTGCGTTAGCCATTTTGAGGACCTATCTCAAACAGTAACAACTCATCTCAGTGTTGAATTAATGGAGCAAACTATCAAATTACATACCAATGCAAATGCTTTACTATAAATCGAATGCTTTTTTGCAAGAATGAGAGTTAAGTAGAAGATCACATATGGTAGAACCATTACATGAAAA